TTCAGCCTCTTGATATGCAGCAGAGCTCATCCAACCCAACCTGCAAGGCTGCCCAGCGCCCAATGCCTTCCAACAACATGCTCACTGATGTTTCAGAAAGTCAGACACCTGATTGGGATTCAAGGCTATTACAGCCAGAGGGATCCCGCAGCAGTATTTAGCCCAGCTTTCCACATAAATTCATACCACAACTCCTGCAGCAAGTCCACAGCTTAAACCATAAAATGCTTTTAAAAGATGTCCAGCTTTTGCTCACAGAATTCAAGCAGCACAGACTCCTTTAGGTAACATATTGCAAAGATTGTTATGTTCAGCATAACTACATTGCTCTTATCACAAGCCTCATTTATTCTACCTCTGGAAATCGTTGTACTTCTTTCTGATGGGCTAGAAAGCTAGGCAGTAGCAATGTGAATGGGCCACGAGCATCTCACACTTTGTTCTTTGCTGAGATACACTGCCAACGCATATTGTTCAGACCTTGGTTCACTGTTACAGCCCCTCTTTAAGCTGAGGAGAGAAAGGAGAGGAGAAGAGAGGAGAGGAGGATTAAATGTAATCATTTAGAGAATAACCTTAAGCTGCAGACTGTCATTAGCACTTTTCCCTCTGAGTGCATATGGACTGTGTCAAGTAAAAAACCCAAGCATTTAAAAAGAAATTCAATTTGAAGTCAATGACAGATATGTCTCCAATGTACACTGGGTGTGAATAATTCTCATTTCTTACCTCATTTCACTATCCGTCCTCAGTTTCATATGATCCAAGAGCACTATCCTATAATCCTGCCCATGCATATTCGCCAAGTCTCCAAATAGCTTTAAAAACCCCCACTGATGAGAGACCACCAACTTTACTGGTTCTTGCAACTCCCACTGTACATTTTATGGGTACTTAGCAATGCTACAGGGTTTTCCTAATGCTGGAGAAATTTCTCTTCTCTTCACTAATAATAGACATGTGTTCAGCAGCTTTTTCTCACTTTTTCTCTCCTTTTCTGCCTATATTCTCCAATTGCTGCTTTTTAAGATGCATTTTTCATAGAACTATAAAAACACTGCATTTTTTTTAATTCTTCTTTTTCTCTTTCTTTTTTTCCCCAGATTTGGGACTGGACAAATTTTAATCCTGCCAAGCTTTTTCTTGACTCCTTTTTGTTGTTGTTGTTGTTTAAATACTTCACAATAAAAGAATGTGCTCCTGATGGAATTTTTATGGCAGAGAAAGAGAAAAGTTCTCCCTTTCTCCTTTCTTGTATCTTCCACACTTCAAAACACGCACTGTGTTTTGTAGCTCCCGAGAAAGACTCCAATGCTGTCAAGCTCCTAATGATAATGGCAGAGTACACGACACACACTGAAACGTTGACAGAAGGCTCAAGGCTGCGTCTCAATCTCACTTTGATGACTCAACTTCACATCGATATACTCAGCCTGTCACTTGCAATCAGACTTTAGGTTTTTTGCTCTTCAACAGTGTTTTAAAGTAATTCCTCTTGCCTGAGGATGTTGGAAAGCGCACAAGAGAGTAGATGTTCCTTTGTACAAGCTCAAAGCTCTGGCTTTTCACAGGGGTTGGAAGTGTGCACTGGTTTGCAGAGTGTACAAAGCTGTCACCAGCTGAAGCACCTTTCAGAGGTGCTCAGGATGCTTTCCTAGGGAAGAAGTCCTGTCCTTTGGGCTCTGCTTTGGATACACCTCCCTGACACCCACCTGCAGCTCGTCTTTGCCCCTTTCAAACACCCCAGACAGCACCTCCCACTAAATCTTGACACTTAATATGTTGCTACCATTTCCTTCTCCTTTCTACTTATTTATCCTTTTAAAAAGTATATTGTCTGAACAGACATTTCTTTCAACCACATTAACTTTTAGCAGAGCAGATTTCCACCCACTGAGGTGTTCCACCCAGAGACCAGTTTAGGGCAAGTACCTCCCTTACCTGCATCTATGCTGCAGGACACTGCAGGACTGCTAATGATGTAACTGAGTGCAGACAGGGCTGACATGAAGTGGTTCTGCAGGAAGGAAAGCTCAGAAGCATCACTACAACTCACAACCATGCTCCTTTACTCTGCAGATGATTCCCTCCATCTGTTTTCTACCTCATGCTATCATTTTGGTGCATAGAATGAGGTCCTGCATCCATATGGCACAGAACAGGTAGCACTGCCTGGAGATGTTGTTGCATTCAGTCCTGAAAGGTGTGCTGCCCCAATGGCATGGCACAAGGCCATGCTGCTCCTAACCTGGATACTGATGCCAGCACAGCCCCACTTGCTTTAATTTGCAGGGTTAAGGTGGTGTCTGTGACCTTGGGCATCACTGCCCATCTCCATTGCATGTGGAAAGCGTGCCAGTGACTCTGGGGCTACTGTGGCTTGTGCTGAAGGGCAGGATTTACTCTGCAGGAAACTCATCCTTGCTTAACTGAGAGACTAACTTTCAGCTGGTAGAAGAGGTTGTATGGGCCTTTTCATTGGAGTTTAGATCTCTCCCTTCAGTTTCGTCTCAAGAAAGTTTTAGGCTCAACCACCTCTAAGGTGAAAAGGAGCAACTCAATCAGATGATTGGTTGCCAGAGAGACTCTTCATCAGGGACTGTAGCGATAGGACAAGGGGTGATGGGTTTAAATTTCAACAAGAGAAGTTCAGGTTAGATGTAAGGAAGAAGTTCTTTACTGTGAGAGTGCTGAGGCAATGGAACAGGCTGCCCAAAGAAGTGGTGAATGCTCCAGCCCCGGTAGAGCTCAAGGCCAGGCTGGACAGAGCCTTGGCCAACATGGTCTAGTGTGAGGTGTCCCTGCCCATGGCAGGGGGCTGGAACTGAATGATATTAAGGTCCTTTCCAACCCAAACCAGTCTGTGATTCTGTGATTCTATGATACAAGAGAGTCCTCAGGCAGCTTGCACTACTAGTAATGAAATGAAAGCAGGTTCATGCACTCGGTGCAGGTTTGCATCTATTCAGCATCTTGTTGTTGCTGTATTGCCTGCAAACAGGACGCAGAGTGGGACTGACTATGTGCACCACACAGTGCGTCACCCTGAGGGACAAGGACCATGGTGACTCAGCTTGATTCAGGCCTCCCCAGCTCTCCCGTGATGCCCATAACCACGAGGATACTAAAAGCAGAGAAGAGGAAGGTCTGACAGGCACTTATGTGACTGGGGACACTCAGGTTTAGGTTTCTTCTTGGAAGCACTCCGTAATACAACCACCGCCAAGGGAGCAGCTACATAACCAGCACCCAGAAAATACATGCACCTTAAGGGCAAGATGTGAAAAACAAATGGTGCAAGTGGCTGAAAATGATTCTGGTTTCAATGAGCTTCATCTATTTGCCCCCTGGTAAATGGATTTGGTCCATGGAGTCAATCTGGAACAGCAGAAGGATTTTAAGTAGGCAGCATTTAATGGATAAGACTGAAGTTTGGCCAAGATCTTGGACTTAATCCTCCTTGTCTTGTGAGAAGAGGCACCAAGTGTTTAACAGAGGCTTCCACTGAAAGATAGATGCTGCTGGAGGGGCTGGTGCTACTGCCACTCATTGGGATGCTTGGGAGAAACCAGGCCAACCAAAAACCCCTTTGCTGGCTCTCACCCTTGTGAGTTAGAGGAACTCAGAGACAAAAGATGGAGAAAAGGGCCATTAGGGCATGCTCTGTCACTAGTAGCAATAATTCAGAGGCTCTAGCTGAGGATATCAGAGCAGTTTGCCAGCACCACCACAAGGCAGGGGGTGATGCTGAACTGGGACCCAGCATCTTCTCTAGTACTATCTCCAGTACCTTTAGTTTCTCCACCTTGTTGTGTCTGCTTTGGGGCAGCCTGGCCACAGGAGCACAAAGCAGAGGACATCAGCCATCATGTAGAGCTTGGACCTCACCTTGGTCACTAGAAGCTCCTTCTGCTCACCCCCTGTGGTGCTGGTGGCTGCAAGGGTGACATGCTGTGGGAGAAGAAGGTTAGGAACCAACATCCCTTTCTCTTCAGTGAACTCAAGCATCTCAGGGCTTACATCCCATCGATTTTCAGTATGACTTCATGTCTAAGGGGTTTAGGTGACTTAAGAACAGAAACTGCAGTAACAGATATACTGTTAAAACTGACAGATCTCCTGAGGTCCCTTCTGTCCTGAGTTTTCCTACAACCCTGTGAAATGCAGTTTATTCCTAGACGTGCCACAGCTCTGACTGCGACTACAGGCAAGTCCCCACATCTCTCCATCCCTCCCTCTCTCCTGCTCTGCTGAGACCCCTGGCCCTGCTGCACTGGGACAGCATGTTGGGGCAAGGGGAGTTAAGGGGGTTTTGGGATGCAGGCAGAGAGCAGCCCAGGGCTGGTAGGAATTACCCACACATCCGGGCTCCCTTGTTACCCCTGTGGAAAACAGTGCAGCCCCTTTGCTGCGGAACACTTCTTCCAAGCGGATCCAAAGTCGGTGGCAGAGCAGCAGCCGAAGGCGAAGCAGCGGCGGGAGGGATATCTGGGGGATGTTGGAGCTGCCCCGGCTTCCCATCCCGCCGGCTCCCCTCAATGCTCCCAGGCACATTTAGGAAGGCAACGTGAAGTCAGGCACCCCCCGCCTCGCAGATGAGGATCTTGATGGGATGGGGGAAACAAGCGATAGGGATGAAGCCGGGTTGGAAACCAAAGCAAACCACGGATTCCCCTGGGGAGGCAAAGCGGGGAGGGGGCGGGAGGGAAGCGCGCACGGTGGGTCGCGGCGAGTCTCCGGGGGGCAGGATTTCTCTTCCACCGCATGGAAAAGCGAGATTAAAGAAGAAAGTGGGAGTGGGGTGGGAGGGGAGGGGTGCGGGGGGATGAACAAAGGAGATTGGCAGCACAGCTGTTTGGGGAAGAGGGAAAAAAAAAGCGGCAGCCCAGCCTTCCTGTTTCTTTAAAGCCGCTCATCGGCGCGGCGGGCCGGCTGCCGGCGCTGGGAGGCAGGCTGCGGGGAGCCGCGGACGCACACACACACTCACACACACACACACACACACACACGGCCGGAGCCCGCTGCGGCGCAGATGGGCAGCAGCGGGGCGGCAGCAACAGCAGCAGCGGAGCGGCGGAGCGGCCGGCGCTGAGCGCTCCGCGCCATGCGGAGCACGCCGCTGACCGAAGGCGAGCCCTGGCCGCGCCTGTGCCCCGCCGAGCTGGGGGGGCTGCGGCGGCTGCGGCGCAAGCACGGCTGCAAAAGTTTCCGCGTGGAGCTCAAAGTGCTCAGCGGGAGGAGGACGGGGCTCCGCGCCCCGCACCACAACCACAGCCACCCCGCGCCGCCCCCCGCCGTCCCGCCGCCCGCCTGGCAGCCGCGCAGCGCCGCGATCGCCGCCAGCGCCTTCCCCGCCGCCCCGCCGCCGCCGCCGCCGCCGCCGCCGCCACCGCCGCCGCCCGCCGCCTCCCCGCGCCCGCGGCCGGGCGAGGCGTCCGGAGTCTCTCCGGAGATCAAAGCCCTGCAGCAGACGCGGCGGTTGTTGGCCAACGCCCGGGAGAGGACCCGCGTCCACACCATCAGCGCCGCCTTCGAGGCGCTGCGGAAGCAGGTACCTGCCGCCCGCACCCCGCGGAACGGGCGCGTAAAGGGTGCGCGGATGGCGAAGGGCATCGCTGGGCAAATGGCACACACACACACACCCCCTTCCGCCCCGCGTTCGCTGTCGGCGGCTGCTCTGCCCTGGGGTCAGGGTGGGTTAAAGGGAGCAGTCCGGAGTGGACGCCTGACAGAAGGGGAAGTCGGTTCAAAATGCCTGGAAGTACCAGCCCTGCAAGTATGCTAACACTCAGGATAAATAAATAAGGGCTTTTAATTTGCTTGCAGTTAGGAACTTTTGGACTTCCCCCCCATCATCCCGGAGAGAGAACTGCATGGAGGGTGGGAAATGACACAAAACAGAGAAAGCCCTCCGAGTGAAAGCAGCGGGTGCAGAGAGGCACTTGGCCACGCTGCGAGCTGGGTGATGCTCTGGTACCAAGAGCACGTGTACTTGGAGCTCTCCTGCCGGGGTGGGCTCACTCAAAGGGATCACCTGGAATTCGGGCAGTAGCAAACTCCCGTTGACTTCTGTGTCAGGGTCTTTGAGGTTCCTGCAGCCACCTCTGAAACTTTCTGTGTGTCCTGTGTCTGCCAGGGATAGCAGAGTTCAGTTGTGGTCCCAGTTGGTTTCCCAAGGTTTTTACAGTAGTGTGTGCTTGAAGTATGTGTGGTGCTGGGCTTCCTTGTTGAGAGGTCTTGAAAATGCTTGTGGTCTCCTGTGAAGGGTAATAGATGCGTTCTCACTGGCAGGGTGAACCTCCTGAAAGGTAAATGAAGGTTCTGGACAAAACCCCTCCCTCACCTTCCCACCTTTATGGAAGGTGAGGATAGATCTGGTTCTTGTATCTTTCCCACAAGCATAAATCAGTGCCCTGGCCGCTGTTATCAGCCCTGTGCTTCCTTCTCTGTGTAGGCACCCTGTAACAGCTCACTGACAGACAAAGATGTGCTGTCACATTGTGCAAGCCCAGCTGTCCCAGCTCTTCTGCCTTTCCAGTAATGCTGATGGGACTATCCCAGGTGTGTAGACAGGGCTTGGAGGCTGTGAGCTGCAAATGGATCTAATGGGGAGTGATGCTGAGCATCACCTCTCCCAGGATGGTCCCTCCAGCCCACTGGGAGCAGAACGCTTTGCTAGCAGGAGGGCTCACACACTCAGGCTTTTGGCTACCATCTTTCAGACATTACTTATCCAAGCCATTCCCTAGGGGACTTTAAGACTCAGTACTGTTGCCTGCTTAGAGGAGCTCTGCTTGTTCCCATCTCCTGCATGATGCCCCTCTCAGTGACTGCTGTCTGTTGGGTAGCTGCGCCCCAAGAGTTAATCCTTTCCTGTCATCTGCTGCAAACAGACTTCCAGCTCCAACCTCAGCTAAGACTAGGGCTGTATGTCAGAAGGGAATTGCCAACAAGCATCTAAATCAGAGCATTTTAAATCACCGCACGGTGGTGGGATCTGACAGCTTCTGTTATGATCGCGGTAATCCAGCCCACGCTGGATGCTGTCCCTCCGGTGATGAGAGGCCGTCCCTTGTAGATGCAAACTCCAGACTTGATATATCTTGTTTCTTTAAGCTGCTTCCATATCTTGGCTGTTTGGCGACTGTGTGTAGCACGCTTGGAAGTGTCAGCCTAATTCTCCGTGGACAGACATCTACACCACCAAAACCGCAAGGGGAAGTAGCACTGATTTCCCAAATCACTGGCAATCCTGTTCCAGGCTGAGCCTCAAGCAGAAGTCAGGCAAGCAACAAATTAAAGCAGCACTCTTTTGGGAAATGGGCAACTCTTGAAAAGCCTCAGATTCCTGGCCTTGGCCCTGCCTTCATAAATCATTTCAGCCTTGGACTCAGCTGAGAGCACAAAGAGCCTGGAGAACAAGTTGCTGTCCTCTGTTCCCATGAAAGCCGGTCTCCAGGGTCAGCACAGGAACATACAGGCAGAGCTGTATTCGCGCTGCGGAGAGAAAGGAATCATTCTCTGGGAAACGCTTGCTGCGAGGTCTTCCTAGCAATTTGCTGAGGGGTGGGCTGGCTGTCCCGACCATCATTGGATGACATTTGCATTCATTCCTTGTTGGGCTGCCAGCGGCGTGCTTGGTGCTGTACGTGACATCAGGTGACAGTCAGCTTCATGGAACATACGCACGGCGCTGGCTTGTCACTCAGATCGTTCACACCGGTGCTGGCGGAAGGGGTTTGTGAGGAGCAGTTTGGATCAGATGAGAGGATGTTGCGTTCTGTCATGTCCAGCGGGAAGCAGGGGCGCGGAGAGGTGTGTTTGAGGAGGAAAATGCAATAGGGAGGATTCCTCTTGCTTTGGGTAAGCATCAGCTGTTCACATCCATAAGTGTACAAAGAGCCTTGAGCCCCATGCAGGAGGCAACCCCCTTGTGGCAAGAGCCGCAGACCTCGGTTTACTTCTTGTTCCTTGGTTAGTCCTCCGTCCCCTCCTTGTCATCAAGTATCAGGCCCTTAAGCAGCTGGGAGGCTTTTCCTGAGGCACTGAAACCGATACCTCCCTGCAGACAGGCGGGAGAGGAGCACAGGAGAGCGCAGTGCTTGCACACAGCCAGCTCCAGCCCCTTTGGGAAGCGATTCTGTGCTGGATGTGGAGCCCCACTCAACCACCGGTACCCAGCACCCATGCAGGTATCATCCCCTTTCCCACCCTGTTTGGATGCATGGGACTGGAGATGCCCATCCTTGCTGGTAAGCATGGGATAAAACCCTAGGCTTGTAGGAAGGGAGCCCATCCATGCCTGGTCAGGAGGAGGAGAAGGGGAAGTCATGCAGGACACCCTCCCCATCTCAACAGCCCACCCCAGGGCGAGTGACTGGCACGCAGCGTGCGGGGCAGATGGGCTGACAGCGGCATCCCTGAGCTGCACAGCTGTGTACATATGGCACACATGTTTTGGCTTGTGTTGTCTAGCGATCCAGATGGCAGGAAGGGGTGTTGTTTTCCTTTTTCTTCCCCAGTTCTTGATGGAGGAAGAGCCAACCACAGTTGTTGCATACCAAAGAGACTAAGCCAGCCGTGTCCCTGAGCGCTAAGCTGTCCCCGGCTCGCCTCCAAGGCCAGGGCCACCTCAGAGGTGGGATGCAGACAGGAAGCTGGCTGCTGTTGGGAGAGATGTGCCGTTGCTGTAGTGCTTGCCCCTTGGTGTTATGGCCACTGGGAATGAAGATTTCTCTCCTTCTCTCTGTATGGAGCTGCTGCCTTCACCATAGGTCTGCAGCACTGAAGTGGGACTCAAGAGTAGATGCTCCTGAGATACACCTCCTTCCCCTTAATCTTGGCGCTTGTAAGTGCTCAGGCTGGAATAGATTTCCCCCCCTCAATCCGGAGCATCATTTGTCCATGTGACCCTTCCATTGAGGCTAATAGAGTAACAGAGTAGCTCCCCATGGGAAACACGGGCTCTAAACCACTTTGACATGGTGGAGATACTTCTGCTATACTTTGCTGTCCCTCTGCTGCTGCCTTTCTGGGTGTCCCTTGTGGGTGCAGCTCCAGTCCCCATAACTGGGCAGCTCCTACCTGGAGCACTGGTCTGCCCTCAGACGCCCTGGTAGGTGCCGGTCAGTGAGTTCTTGCTATCCAGCTGAACTGTCCCAGCTGCACCCGGACCTCCCATAAGTGACATGGTGAGTTGTCATTTTTCTCTTCCTCTCTCTGCCATTGTGGGTGGTCAATGAACCCAAACATCTCTGATGAGGAGTCGCAGCAATGAGTTCACAAGAGCCCAAGGGTCATCTCCTCCTCCATCTGAAGTGCCTTTGTGGATGTTCCAGTTCATGAAGCGGTGCAACTGTTCAGAGGAGACAAGATGCGATGCCACCACTGCACATCTGCAAAGCAACTGCTACCCAGGCTGGGTCATGGTTGCCAGCAACACTGGCTCCATTCTTTGTTTGCAAATTCCTTTTGGCAGCAAGGGTTGCTTACTCCAGTACATCCCAAGTGTGAAACAGAGCCATCTGAACAGTTATTACAGCATCAACTTAGCCACCAGTTTGCTCCTGGAGGCCTTGGCCAGGAGGAGATAGTGCTCTTCTCCGTTAGGCTGCAGTGGGCACCCGAGCAAACCAACTCCCACCAACCCATAGCACTCACAGGGGTTGTGATTGAGCTGCTCAGCTGTGCTGACAGACCCTAAGGTGGCAGCAAACTCTCCCTCGGTGGACAGAGACAACCACAGCAGCCTTCCTCATCTGGAGCCTGCCTACTCTTGCACATCTGGTTTCTCTATGGAGCACTGCTGTCCAACTCCTCCTCAAGACAGCAAAGCATGGAGCCACAGCGAGCTCGAGCAAATGTGTCCACAGACATTTTTTTTCCCTTGAAGTATATTGACTTTCCTCTAAATCTTTTCACCACTGCATTACGAGGGCTCTCCCAGCCTCAGCAGCTGACAGCCTCGCTCTCCTCACTCATGTGGGTTCGGGGGATATTTTAGGGTTTTATGGGGCCTTTTAGCTGCTGGAATAGAGGGTTTTTTCCCCACACCAGCATCCTTTCACTCTTCGCTGCCAGCATGCGTGTGGCTGCTGTGGCTTGGTGTTAAATCACTGCAGAGAATACCCCGCTCTCTCCTGTTTGAGCATGGTGGGACATCAGGAGCAGCAGCCTCAAGGCCATGGGAGAAGGTTGCATTGCTGTAAGGTGGCATTAGGGCAAGCTGTCTGCAGGGTTTCGAAGGGACAAGTCAGGCAGGGCCTGTGGCTTGAGCAGTGCCTTAGCCACAAGCCAGTGGAGGCTGTGACTATTCTGGGGATGCATCGCTACGTGCTTGTCCTCTTTGTGTGTCATCCCAAAGGCGTCTGTGGTTTGTCACCTCTGCAGGCGGGACACTGTATGGGACTAGTGTCCTTACTGCGTGGTGGGAAGACTGAGAGCTTTTCTCCATCACCTGCTGACATCTCCCAGCCCTCTTCCCAGTGATTCATCCCCCCATGATCCCACCAGCAGGAAGCCCTATGATGCCTTCAAACACAGCTCCTTAAG